TATAGTAATCCTCAGTATTGACAACGAATATATATTTTAATAATTAATCGAGGATAGATGTTAGTGTCTGTGGGCCACAATATCGACATACCATCAGGTGGACTGTGTGATCGTTTGTCATCCTTATTCTACAGAAACTATATTTAAAAAACTATATTAAAGGCGTTTGACTATTATCCCATCATAAGTCGCGATGTCAAGTGCACTGACTTAGTTTATCAAATGCCTATTCACACTCGTCTTTAAGATAGCCACATTGTAATCGGATGGAAAAACAGATAGTGGAAAATTGCTCTACGCATTGCTGTTCGCATTATGAACGCATGGAGCGCTCCATTGCTGTATGTATCACGAACGACGAAACAAGCCGTTTGATTCGAATACGTAGTGTGTCGTAAACAAGGAGGCTGAGCATCTATATGTCCGGTCGTGTTGTAGAAGGAAGAAGACTATGCCCACTACCAAAAATGTGTCTGATTGGTATAATGTTTGTTGACTCAGTCTTGCAATGTTGATTCACAAAAATAATGCAGCCTTGTGATCTTTTTTTGTCTGAAAGTTTTTCTTTAAATCGCTACCTAGGTTCTATTCAGATTTTTATTCTGTCGATTATTAAGTTTATCATATCCATTTACGGTCTCCACTAATACGATCACGTATCTCCCTATATAGCTTAGTTTAATCAACTGCCTGTACATTTAATATATAATGGTAATACAACAAATATGTATAGCATAACAAATAGTATAGTCATACCAAAATGAATCGGGTAATAACTATTTTTGTAAATTTAGTATCCGTGATGGGAAGAGTAGGTAGGTATCCGTAGCGTTTTTTTTTTTTCGGGAGGAAATCGGCGCCCATAAAAACAATCGTCGGTCACTACGACACTCACACATAAAAATTAAAACAATAAACTAATAATTTCACACACACATAGATACATTACAACAGTATCGCACAGTGACAGCAACAACTCGGAAACATACTCGGATCAGTCGCTCGACCGATCTCCATTTTGTATGAAGGAGAGTGGCCTGTGCTGGTAAACAAATCCGTAAGAACATGACCGTTATTATTGCAATTCTTAAATTTAAAAAGAATTAAATACCAATAATGTGATTAAAAATTACTTATATATAAAAGGTAACGCCAACACTATCCTTTTGTAAATTTTACGTGACAGATATCTTTTTGCAGCAAAAGAACTGAATAGTTCGGCATTTTTGCAGGACGTCGATTCAACACCGCAATTAGATTTAGTCTAGTGAGCAGTTCACGTTAAATAATTACGATGGGCAGCAACGTCATAGGTGAAAGAAATCTGGCACTACCATGATCTGACATCTCTATCTTTTCCTACAACGGAAGGGGCCTATGTCTTGCAGTGGATTTTAACATTAAAGAAAGAAGAAAGAAATTTGTTTTTTTTTTTACCGGATCGTTATTTTTTATTGTCAACTCTAAGTTATTGTCATTCTATAATTATATATAAAATTACTACGTACTACGTACAAATGTTTGATTATTTATTCTAAATCTGTAGAACGAGCTTATTTTAAAAAAATTGAACAATTTATTTTATAAAATAATTAGTATTCATCCAGTTTTCTTTAACATCAATTTTCTATCACAAGCCAATTAATTATGTTAACGATGAAGTCCTAAGTTTCAAATCTGCTATAATTATGTAACCTTCTGATGTAAACTGTGTTTAAAATGGTTTATTTTATTTTTTGACAATGAAAGAGACAGTTGTAGGACGTCTTTTTTTTTGGAGTTTATGGCCTGGTATCTAGACCTTTAGGCCAAGTCTTGAGTATTTTTATTCGGTTTATTATAATTTCCCAAATGTATAATTATCCTTCATAGTTCACTGCTTCACAATATGTTGATGCGTCACATTGTGCAGCCCTTGGGAGATTTTGACGGCAACTTGAGCCAGCAGACAGCTGACAGTTGGCGATGGTATCTAAAGGCGCCTATGCAGACAAACAGCTTATCTTGAGAATCCATCACCATCAGAGCACTTGTTTCACCGTTTCCACTAATAGTTCACATGCGTAGACAGTTAATACATAAAATCGCACCACTTTTACATATCAAAATCCACTTCAAACTATTATTTAAACTATAATACAGGAGCAGCAAACCGCCGCCGGTAAAGTTCCCGCCAAAACTCCTTGTAGGACGTCGCTATATTACTGTTGTAGCCAGACACGAAAATATCATATCTCCTTATAAGATTTTTTTTGTGTACATTGTATTTTTAATTTGTATGTTTTCACACTATAAGGCACAAAATAATTTGAAAGAAGTTAAACAAGTTCTTCAGCTAACTTCTCCACCTTAGCTTTTTCGATCCGCCCCGAGATAGGTATATTATTCTGGTGCTGTCGGTGAAACCATGATAGCACAGCTTGATCCATATCTTCGAATTTAGGTTTCTTTAATTTTTGGAAGATTTTCCATCCTCCTCTGCTTGTAGAATTTTTCTTTACTTTTCCATATTATTGACACGGTAGAGCGACTAAATCCAAAGCGTCTACCAACATCACTTATCTTCTCTCCCGTCTCTATTGCGCGTATCAGTAACACTTTTTCGTCAATACACAGTGATTTTCTCTTAGTTGCTATGTTTACAGTTTGATAGTCTGTGAGAAAGTAAGAATATGATAACGTATAGATGACTCCATGACTCCTACTAACAACAATCTACACGTGCAAGCAATCCCAATTTGTGAACAAAACAATGGATTTCTTAGGGCGGATTCGACCAAACTTAGTATAAGTCTTATCCTAAGAATAAAATCACAAATTACTCTCGAATTAGAGAACTTTCGTTTTACCAAATCTTAACCTAGGTATAAGTGTCTATCCGAGAGTAAATTGTTATACCGCCAAAATTCATGGAGTAAACAAGTTATCCCAGAGTATTTTAATGGCGGCCGCTACATTTTAACAGCTGTTTTCGTATGCTTTGTTGAAAAAGTAGGATATTTTATCGTTAGTGTTCAGTGACAGTTGACACTAATATAATCCGGCAAAACTAAGTGGACCGAAAATCTTGCATTGCGCTATATAAACAATTGTATTTCGATTTTAGTTGGCTTACATGTTCATTCATTTTTCATTCACCAACTCTAGAGTAACAATACCCAGTATTAGCTACTCTACGTTGGTGTTTGAAAAACGCAAACGAAGTAACATGGTATTTGGTCGAATCCGCCCTTAGAGAGTTTGGTATGTATGATGCCGACAGTCGAGTTTATTACAGGCTAGGATAATAAAGTGACAGAAAAACGTACACACCTGCGCAGTTTTTACTAATTTTTGCAACTTAAAAAGTACTTTTTATTATTTAATTGTTGTTGTTATTGAGAGTGGGTGTAATGCTATATAGAGTGTATCATTGTATGCAAGAAAAGTTAAACGAACCAAAGCCTAGTGATTTCAAGGCTTTACGGAGTTTGTCGTTAAATCGAATGACGTTACATGGAGTTAACACTCTAGTTTAAAAATTGAAAGGCTTAAAATAGGTACAAAGATAATTGTTTTAGTAATGCTTAAAGTATTTTTTTCAACTAGGTAAAATTTTAGATGAATTTAAAACAGTTATCTTATATTTCTACTTTAAAAACACTACGTTTATATCGTTCAAACAACAGTTTTCTTGTCAAAAAGCGAAGAATTAACACATAAAATATAGTTAAATATATGCATATTAAACTAGCGATAAGCCTCGGCTTAATAACCAGCCAAATTTGCAGAGAAGGTTCAGAATAAATAATATAGGCAAATGGTGAAGAAAAATTTATTAAAAAAAAACAAACATTCTGCCTTTTTATCTTTTAAATTCAAAATGGGTGGTAATGCATTATTTTAACTGATTTTACTGCGCATGCACACATTCGTAAGGGTCGATCGGTAGGCAAGAATATTGTTGTCCATAAATCACATTCCATTTGGGATAATCTATAATATAAAAATGAATCGCTAAATGTGTTGCTAAGGGCAAATCTCGAGAGCAGCTGAACCGATTTCGCTAATTCTTTTTTTATAATACTCCTTGAAGTACGAAGATGGATGTTACGGAGAGAAAAATTAAAAAATTGCCTGAAAAAGTCTAAAAACAAAGTTTCCTATATTCCCATACAAAATATTCGTAATAATATTTAAAAGTCATTTTGAACTTTAATACCATACCATAAAGTGTAAGTGTTAGTGGAGGAGTTACGGGAAGGCAAAACAATTGAGTGAAGTTAGTATCGATAAATATTAATGTCAATATTTTTCAATATGTATACGATGGTAACATTACTCATAAACAAATTAGGATTCCGCGCAAAAAAATTGATATCCATGAAATCGTAGTAAATTCCACGCGGGCGAAGTCACGGGGCGCAGCTAGTTTTAAATAAAAGTAGAAGCCTTATTTACTCGTATTTTTAAAACATTTATATGTTTGAACTTAAATTTACAATAAAAAAATATCTCATGTACAATACCTAAGTACCTATCTCTATATACTATGGCGTGATCGCTAAGCAGGAAGTATTTCAAATTATTGCAATTCATACAAATGTGAACTTTAATCAATTGAATCTATACTCGTTTTTCGAATCACAAATACTGTTCAAAAGGTCCTAAAACTATCTTAGTTGCAATAGAAATAAAACTTTTTATGATGTGAATTAAATTTAAAAATGCTAGCTTTGATGATCGCAGAACTAGACGTCTTGCAATTTTGACACTTCTGAAACTAAACGATTTATACCACCATCTATCGAAAGTCATAAGAATTTCTGGCATATCCCATAGTGGACTCTTACGACACCCACGGGACGAAATTCTTTCACGCCGCCACCACACGGCAACATCTCCATTTATGTAATTAAAAAATAATTCTATAAAAAAATGTAAGTTGTAAGTTATTATACAGATTCTTAATATTTTTGTTGAAAAATCCACTTTATAAGAAAAAGTCAAATTCAACTTACCTGAAATTTTAAAATTCACGTCAACTTTCCCTTTCAGCAGGCCGATAAATTGAGGCCGCATGGGCGGTATCCATTGATACACAAGACCTTGTGATCCGTTGAAAAACCATTTCATAACCAGACCGATTCTTGGAGACACTATGTCAATATTGTATTGACAGTCGAGCACAACTGATTCGGTACCCACTTCCACCAACGCTGGTACCTCAATCTTCCTTATATTAACTCCAACGCATTCTAAAAATAAAGTATAATATTTACTGAACTTAAAAATAGAACCAAATATCAAATATAACATGTACAGTAAATAATAGTTATGATGGAATAATATGATATCAAGTTTGAAATTTATATTAAACGGCACGTTAACGACCTTAGTTTAATCATTTGATCTCAACTTACACTGAGCCCTTGAATCCCTACGCATTAAAGTTATAAGTAAGGCCGCATTTACATAAATGGCTCTTTTTTTCTTAGTATACATATAACGAGTTGATAGTATTTATACAATCTACTAGTTGGTAGACTTTCGCATCGGTGCTGATATAATATTACGTCATTACAATAATGTTGAAAAATAACTGCGTGGTATAAGAAAATAAATTAACTGCGTGAAAATATCAAACCAACAACTATTTTGTAATAATGACGTTTTAAATAAGTAAAATACTGTGTGTATTACATTTATATTTTGTGTGTGTATGTGTTTTATTTATATATTGTGTATTACTAACTTCAATTTTTATGGGCTATTATTTTATTTAGCAAATAAAAAATGCTGCATGTTAAAAATTGCACAAATCAAAAATGGAAAAAAATCTTTTGAAAACAATTGCCTTGTTCATAATTTTTCCATTGTCCATTTAATATCAAAACTTTATATATTTCTTTACCACCCTAATGAATAAAAGTTGAGAAGAAAGGGGTGAAACTACCCTTTAATTTTTGAGGACGGTACATTAGTATAAATTTTACCTGGAGTTCCGTCGCTATAATATTCAGCTCAGGGAAAATTCCAAAGGAAACGCTCACAAAATATTTCTTGTACAGGTAACAGAATAATATTTAAACATTAACAAATCTACATCGTAGTTGTTATATTTCACTTTTCATTGTACAAAGTAAACGAGCGTTGGCGTTTTTGTAATTGAAGAACTAATGTAAACATTACAAAAGCTTCGTATAATATGGCATTTAATAATAATAACGTTGTCTTGACATGTTCCGTGCCCGAAGCAGACAATGTGTTATTTTACTTGTGCCCACAATTCTTCGCATAATTTTATTTATTTACCTTACCGAAAACGTTAAGGGGCTTCAAGTATTGGGTATATTATTTTTGTTTTCTTTATAAAAAGCGAAAAGAATTTATGGCCTTTTTTTGCCTTCCATAACTTGAAGTATTGATCTTGGCAACGGTAATCAGAATATTTTTTCAAGGTCTTGCTTCATAGTTTCTTAGATGACACAGATGTCACAATTAATGTTAAAACACGAATTAGCGTAACAATTTTCTAGTGAAAAAAGTGTCTACAAAGGTTCTCTAGTGATAATCTCGTGCAAAATAAGCAAAATGTAGGGTGGCCCTGCTCTATATGTAGTGAGGATCTGGTAAGAGATGCGGGAAGTTGATGGATGTAGGTGGTTTAGGGCTGTGCTTTGTGGTATTTATCGGCTGAGGCCTATGTTCAGCAGTGGCCTAGTGATGTGCTGGAATGGTGATGATGATGTTATGTATAACACAATTTGGCATTGACGCTATTTTGATCACGTAAAGAATTGACAACCGATACCCCACCCTAACAAAATAAAAATACTGGCAATCAAAATCCTGCACTTCTCGATCGCTCTACTTTGGTAGGCTTTGGTTAATTTTTAATCACCCAAACCGTCGACTTTTTTTGGATCTTATTGATAAATCTAAGTTTTTAAATCTGCAATAATGTTGTGAAAACGCCGAGATAAGCCTGCTGGTAATTATTTAACGGCATCATCTTACGCAGACCTACTTCTGAGCATTTTTGAGGTTGTGCAGCACCCAACGCGAAATTATTCTCCTCACGCGAAGGTATTCGTGTAAAATCTCATAAATGCTCCCCAATCTAATTTGAAGAATATGCCGAATCTCTTCACACACAATATGTTTTTTCTCTTCAATGAAACTTTTTAGCAACTTGACGTTTACTTCCGTAACAAATGCTAAATGGCGACAACTTCTTTCTTTATCTCTCGAAGTTATTTGACCGTGCTGAAATTTGTTAAACCAGCGGTAAGCGATTGCCTTAAAAAAGCCTTTATCTATATATGCCATTGTTGTCTACTTGTTTAATTATTATAAGTTTTGAATAAACAGATAAATTAGGTTCAGATAATATTTCTTGCATATTATATCATCATCATCATCATTACAGCCCTTCACAAGTCCACTGCTGAACATAGGCCTCCCCCAAAGAATGCCACAAAGCACGGTCCTGAGCCACCTGCATCTATCGACTTCCTGCATGTCTTACCAGGTCGTCACTCCATCTCGTGGGGGGACGCCCTACACTTCGCCTACCGGTACGAGGCTGCCACTCGAGAACCTTTCTTCCCCATCGGTTGTCGGTTCTTCGAGCTATATGGCCGGCCCACTGCCACTTCAGCTTACTAATTCGTTGGGCTATGTCGGTTATTCTGGTTCTACTGCGGATATCCTCATTCCTAAGTTTATCACGCAGAGAAACTCCGAGCATAGCGCTCTCCATAGCTCGCTGAGCGACCTTGAGCTTCCTCATACGGCCAGCAGTGAAGGACCACGTCTCAGTTCCGTAAGTCATCACTGGCAACACGCACTGGTTGTACAATTTCGTTTTAAGGTTTTGAGGTATGTCTGACGAGAAGATGTGTCGTAGCTTCCCGAACGCTGCCCACATATCATAAATTAATTACCGCGCATTCCTGAAATAGTTCCAGTTACACTTTTCATTGTAACACGATATTTAAATATTTAATTATAACGGATAAAATTGTAGAAAACAAATTTTAATTGTAACATTTGTGTCGACTATAGAAGTAGAGTTCATTATACGGCTGATTTTCTATGTCTTTAAGTGGACTTTGTGAATATTTTCATACACTCAATTAACCAAATTACATCTTACATACATTTCTTTTGCCTTTCAAAAATCAAATCATCTTGTACCTGCAAAGTCAAACTAAGCCATTAGGACCCTAGCCCTAGCCATTACCCCTAGACAATTCAAGTATCGGTCCCTTTTGTGTTCCGTAGTTACACAACAAGGAACTCTTATAGTTTCGCCATGTCCGTCCGTCCGTCCGCCCGGCTGCGGTTTTACTCAGAGATCCTAATTAGGCATAGTTATAGATATTAATTACGCCTATAAAACTGTGAAATAAAATCTTAAAAAATATTTTTATTTTGGGTACCTCCCATACATGTAAATAGAGGCTGACTTTTTTTACCTGTCTATTTCATCGTGTGGGGTAAAGTTGGATAGGTCTTTAAAAACACTGGAGGTGTGGAACACCATCTTTTCGATCGGTTCAACTCCTTAGAAGATGACCTAAAACTAGCTGCATTATAACTTTGTAATGTTATTGAAAACTGTAAAAAATAAACATTTTATGAAAAAACGACTTACCTAATATATTATGCATTACTACTAAATTACCTTTTCATTAGCTAGTAAGTTTTGCCCTAATAGCACATACCTATAATTCTTGTTGGGACAAGAGGCAATGTAAACAAAGATCAATTATTTAAATATAGATAATCAATATATTTAAATAATTGTAATACTTTAAATGTACATAAAATTATCTTGTTTACATTGCCATACAAACAGGTTTGGCTACAGGAAAATAAAATAAGATATGATTTAAATGTATTCATTAATACATTTAAATCATAGCTTTTTTATTTTCCTTGTACTTTTCATGTAATAATAATTTAAACTTGACATTTAATTGTTATAATTATAATAATAGAATTAATGTAATAGACATAAATGTTACATAGACATATTGTGAACATGTTCAAGATCGACCCCGCCATTACATTAGATTTGATATACCACAAATCCTCGCAAAAGAACACCGATTCCTACCAAGGATGACTCGCGAGGCTATTGAAATTAAAAAACATCCTAATTTCAATAGAGAAGATGGATGGGTGCTGCCATCTGCTTGGGATCCCATAATTAATAAAATCAAATCCAAACCCAAGTATACCACTGCTAGACTTCAAGATACTGTAAGCTCATTCTGTGTAAATCGCCGGGCTAACTATGACATCAGGACGTCAAACACCTCAGTCCCCCGTGACCACGGGTGCTGGAAAGCACCCAAAACGTTAGGAATATAAAATAAGCTAATATACGCGATAAAATCCGTAAAATTAGTTTTATTTAGATATTTAAAGACATAAATAATTTAATTAAGAAACTTTTGACTAGAGATATGTAGGTATTACCTATCCAAATATAATTTAAGACAGATAGCAAATGTGCCATCTTATTGTTTATTTATATTAACTCAGCCATGGACTTGGTTGGCTACACAGACATCTGCTTTTATTGAGCAGTGTAATGACTTAATATGTAACTTGGAATCAGTTCCAAGTAATTTAAATTAGAAAATGAGACAATATAGGTAATCTCTAGCAATTATAATAATTTAAATCACCCCCATGTTCTATATACTATACTTTTAAAAATTATGGACAAAATTTTTGTTAAGCTTAATAAACAAAATAAATCTGTTATAATATGTAGAGACTTTACTATCAATCACCTAGTAGCTTTATCCATCAATATTAAATTTAAATCTTATGGCCTTTTTAATTTATTTTTAGAGCCAACGCGTATTGCTCAATCTAGTGCAACATGTATAGATAATATTTTTACAAAATTTAAGCCTTTGCATAAATGTCTAATTCAAAAATCAAGTTCTGATCACTGTGGACAATTAGTTTCGTTACTTTATGGTCACAAAAAAAGATGAGAGACACAAGTAGATGAAAAAGCTTGCACTTGCTGTTTCCATTGATGTCTCGAAGACCTTTGACAGAGTTTGGTACACTAGCCTTTTGGGTAAGCTTCCAGCGTACGGCTTATCCCCTGATCTGATTGAATGGGTAAAGGATTTTCTGAGTGAACGGTCTCTTCGGGTCGTCGTCGACAGCTGCTCATCCGATCCTTTGGCGACTAACGCCGGTGTTCCTCAGGGGTCAGTTCTCCCCGCAACTCTCTTCCTGCTACATATTAATGATCTGCTTATGCCCGGTATCTGTGCGTGTCTTTTCACTGCAAAAAGGATCCAGCTCACCTTGTCTACTTCTTTCTAAAATGTATCACTGGAATATACCGACCGCCTCCAGTTGTTATGGTTTGAGATATCCTCAAATCTTAATATCGGCCGGTTCATTGAGTCCAAAGCCAAAGCAGCTGCAAGGAAGCTGGGAGTCATTGCAAAGCTGCGGCGATACTTCACGCCGGAACCGCTGCTTACTTTATATAAAGCGCAAGCCCGGTCGTGCATGACGTATTGCTGCCATATATGGGCTGGTGCTGCAAAATGCCAACTAGCAGCTTTGGACTCAAGGGAAGGCGTGCTAAGAGGCTTATTGGTAACCCAAATTGGGTTAAAACTAATCTTACTAGCCTTTCGGTTTTCTAATTGCGTCCCGCATTTCGCAGAGTGTGCGCAGGTATTGCATAATTTAATTCCTCCCTCTCCCTTCCACCATTGGACAACCAGACGTTCGGCCAATCTCCACCTTTTCGTTGGTAACTTACCACGCATTCGAACCAAACGGTTTGCTACGTCGTTTATCATGCGTACAGCAAAGGAGTGGAATAAGTTGCCAGCATCTGTCTTTTCATCCGATTATAGTGTGGATGTCTTCAAGGCAAGAGTGAATAGGCTTTTGTTAAGTCAGTCCGCTTCACCATCGTAGGCTACATCACCAATTACCATCAGGTGGGATTGTAGATAAGCGCTGGCTTAGTAGAATATAAAAAAAAATGTGTTTGTTCCAGTAAATGCACGTCACTTGGAGAAGTTTAGAAGTAACATTATGAAAAAACTTCCATTACTTACATACCAACAAATTTTTTGGCATGGAACGTTGTTTAAGCTTATTTGCAATGAATTTAATAATACTCTTACTTCTAAAATTCTCCTTGAACATTCGGAAGGCATTTAATGAATTGGCGACAGTAGGAGTTCATAAGAGCAGACAAAGGTTATATTATGATCTTTACCACGAAAGGTCATATAATCCAAGCATCGAATTTGTTATATTTGTATTTGTATCGAATATGTAAAAAATATTTAAAATAGTGTGCTCCACACCCAAGTCTTTGCATTTGAGCAATAAAATTAAGACGGCTTCTGATAAAATTAAAATGACATGGAGTATAATTAATAGCGAAACTGATGAGATCAAATCTGGCGATTCAAACTACCAATTAAGTTTTAACAACAAAGAACAATGGCAGACTTTCATACGTAAAATTAGTTGAGAAGAAATGGTAGCGTCTATATACCAAAAATATCTTAAAATGTTAAGCCTCAGTCCCTTAATAAATCTGTCATAGAATTTTGTACTGAGAAGGCGTCAACAAAAAGATATTTACATTTGAACTTTTTAGGTTATGTCCTATGTCACTTGGAAAAAGTCATGCTTCCTGTGGTTGTTTGATGTTAGCTTAATACATAATACATAATTGAGAGTTTTTAGATTATTGTATCTCTATTATATATTTGCATACTATAAATGTATATTTCTGGCATGGCTCCAGGTCTTTTGTATCATAGTGACATTCTCAGAAGGGCTAGAACCCAGAACCGTAAAGCCAGTAAAAAAAACAGTGACATTTTTTTTGGAGTTTATGGCCTGGCATCTAGACCTTTAGGCCAAACAGTGACATTTTATTTTAGCTAGTGTTGGCATAACTTTAAATGGAATTGTTACATAGTACTATGATTGAGATTTATTTTATTTATTTTTATTTTATTAAAATTGGTTTACCAACAACTTATGCACTAACATCTTCCCATATAAATCAAGCGATATAGTTAAAACTAAGTACACAGTCAATTACAGGTAAACACCACATGAATAACTTTTATCGCGACAATTAAAAGACTATATTATATATTATATATTATTTACTATAGAAATGTATTATTGTAGGAAATTCTTTGTAAGAGGCTTATTCTCAGCCATATCACTTATTTATTATTTTTATTATTACCGATATACAGTTATTACTAATAATAACTTAATATAAAAATATTTTGTGTGTTGTGTTGGTAGTCTTACAAAGTGTATACGAAAATAGTATAAATATACTAAATGGCAACATTTGAATAGAGTAAAATGATTTAAGTCATTTGATATTCCCAAAAATGTTTGTTTTTATCTGTGGCTTTAATTACAATACATTTTTATTTTAAAAATCATAGAAAAATAATAAAACTAATTTTATATATAACTTATTTCTAGACGCTATAATTTTGTCAACTATTTTTCTGCCATTGCTCTTTACTGAATCAGATCAGGCCGTTGCAATGATTTTTGAGAAGTATTTTACTGATATTTCAATCTTAACCACTAAGTCACTGAATTCTTCTCCTGACGTCACCGAATCGTTACTTAAATAAAATGTAAATGCATGTACAAAGAATTTTACGTTTCATAAAGTATAATCAAAATATATTAAAAAATATTTTAAAACTAGTGTTATTAAAAAAATGCAGATCTGTGGGGGATTTCCGTTAAAGTTATTGCGTCTATTATAGATACAATTGCGCCTTATTTAGCTCTTATTTTTAATACTAGTATCCAATCTGGTGTATTTCCTTATTTAATGAAGTATAGCATAGTAAAGTAATACCTTTATTTAAGTCTGGTAGTACATTAGACTTAGTAAGATTTTTGAAAAGATTATTCTTGATTAAATGTAAAAATGTTTTAACATAAATAATTTACTTCATAAAAATCACTTTGGTTTCACAAGGGGTCGTTCGACAACATATGCCGGTGTTGTGCTGATTAAATATCTTTAATGCATGGGAGAATTCACAGGATTATTTGGCTATATTTTGTGACCTATCCAAGGCATTCGATTGTGTTCATCATGAAACATTCATCAGGAAACAGAGGTTTTTTTCGAATTAGTGGTAATTAAACAAGAGAGTGACATTCAATAAGTATTATTTATAATCTATATTGAATAAAAAAGTTTGTCTATTTCTGTTTAATTTGCGGAATAGGCAGGGAGGATCTTTGTTACTTACTTACTACTTTCACTTACTTATTCGTCACACTCTTGGTTTAATATAAGAATAATTCAGGGCAGTGGTATGGGCACGTTAAGATTCACTGCTGTGTTTCGTATGGTGAGTGTAGAGAACCGGAGAAACTTTTTACTGTAATATTCTGTGACGGCGTGGTCCTTCCCCGATCAAGCCGACCAATTTGTGCTACAACTATACCAGTAACATAGCTGCAGCATGGCTCTACCACGTAATATCTATTATATAGAAGAGTTTTGTAAACTGTTTGTTTTTTCTACCGCGAAAAGTATGGAAGAAAGGCTTATCAAGCAATTTTTGTGTAAATGTATTTAAATTGCTTTTCTCCTATACTATAGGTATTTTTTATATTTTAACTATACGTATCGAAGAGGAAGCTTGATAAATACAAAGTTTTAGGGCGCTATTTTGCAAATAGCATATGAATAATGTATCATTGTTATAACTAGACTACGCTCGCATGTACCTGCTGCCTAAACAACTGGACGCTTTTACGAAAATTGGACCGAAGGTATTCACGCGGCAGATAATATTTATTGTACTATTTGCTACCGGCGTAGTTGAATTTTTTTTCAGTAATTCATTTTACACTTTAAGAGACGTTTTTACGTATGACATAAAAATTTAATTGTGTTGTAAAGTATAGGAATAGAATTCATTAACGCTCATAAATAATTATTTCAAATACTGATTGAACTAAAATAATATATAACATTTATACTTGATCTTCGGACGCTGCGTTAACTTCCTAATTCTTTTCAAGTATATTAACGGATACCCCGGAGAAATTTTATAGTATTACAAAATATTATTGATTACAGTTCATCAAAAATCCATCACTAAACAGGCCTCCCCGATAGATTGCCTCATATTACCATAGTTGCCAGATTTGGAAGATGGATCGGCAACAGCAATTTTTTTTATTTTCAGTTGTTATGAGAAAGATGGTCCATCTCCTGTTTCTCTTTCCCTCTGTCCTTTCTTACAACACCCACGGGATGAAATGGTGTAGAATATTTTTTAACGCCACCACTACATTGCAACGGAGCAAAATGTATGATATCATTTAATACATTTTTTTATAATTTTATTAAAGCTTTAATGTGTTTTCTTAATTAAATCATCACAAAAAAATAAATGTAACAAGAAGTAATCACATCAATTGTTCAAATGGACATATAATTTTGTATTGCCCAATATAATTTGATATACTTGGTAATTATGTTAAAATTATTCAACATTTGTAAAAAAGCAATTCACGATTAAATCGAAGAAAAGAAAACTGGACGGTTGACAAGAAAATTATGTAGGCGCACGCGGGCGTTAAAGTTTAAACACGCAACAAAATATAAATGTTTTCTTAGAAATAGTACAATACAGTGACAACATAAGAAATATTATACCAACTTGAACAGAGTATAAGAAGCACGATGCATGTAGAATGTTCCATTGTTAACTACATATCAAATTATCACGTGTCGCGAACTCCGTTGAGACTACGTAAGAAACTAATTGGCAAAATTTGTAATGAACCACTCGACTCTACTGGAGCGCGGTAACTGAAAAGTTTGTGATGTTATAAAAATGGTCAAAGCACGCATGCGCACACAAAGCGCCTGTTGATTTACTTCACAAGCTTCAAATAATGAACAGAATATGCAGCAAAGAAACGTCATTTACTCGTGTGTTTAAACTATTGAATAACCTTTATGCGTGGTAGAGACACGCTTTATTAGTATTAGCACGAATGGATCGGCTCGACCGGGTTAGGACCATGCTCTCACAGTATGCTACCGTAAAATAACAGCTTAATGATGCTGTGTTCCGTATGGTGAATGTAGAGAATCGGAGACCCTTCTTACTGGAAACGAACATTATATGTCAGTCCTCAGGGGTGACAACGCATCGCATTTTGACACTTGTTTTTACTAACGTATCCGTACGTAAACGTACGTAACGTAAGTATAAATTTTAACACAATAACACGTTTGAGGCTCCTCAATTTTTTAATAGTACTTAGTTTAAATAGGACGTTACTGTCGGGATATCGAAAGATCAAGAAGTGATGAGACTATACACAATTATTGTATTAACGTTCATAAAAGTTACTAATATAGCAATAAAATATTAGATTAGTAATAACTTATGATAGAATAGAAGTTAAACTCATTTAGCGACATCAAAAAGACTTCAGCAGTGCAGCCCTCTCGCTGCAGCCCACTAACGCACAACTGAAGTAGAGTCGCCAAGCGCACTCGGATTGGCCATCCCTGGTCGGCACTTCGAGCCGAGAGCCAGCCAAGTGTTAAATGTGCTCCTGATACTTCACTGTAGGTTACCAGGCTCCCATTACAAAGCCTCCCCTCTCCCGTGCTACTACAAGGCCCGTTCCCCATTCGGGAAAGGGTCAATTCATATTATTGCGTCTCACAAAAGCAATAACTAATGTTTGTGCCACACTATGTCAGGACCGTGACAGGATGTCCTAAATAAAACTAGATAGCGCAAGCATTTTTTCTTGCCAATATTATTCGAGGCTACTACCATTTTTGGTGTAACGCCAAGTCTAATAATCTCTTCATTCTTTGAATATGTTGTTTATAAGCAAATTTAGAAGATTGTACAGAAACATAAAGAATATAGAAACAGCATGAGGTAAGACAAATATTCGAACAATATAATTCCGCTCAATTTAACATGTAACATCATGCAAAACATAGGACAGAACTAGCTGTTCACCGCGACTTCGCTCGCGTGTTAGGGTTTTTATTTTTTTGAGCGGAACCCTAATTCTTTTTCTAAAATAAAAGTAGCTTAAGTTACTCCTTATGACATCTGCAATCTGCCAGTGAAAGTCCCGTTAAAATCGGTACAGCCGTTTCGGAAATTAGCCGGAACAAACCGACAGACAATAATTTAAAAAATTGTATTTTAGATATAAGTACCGTATTTACTCTCATATGCATTTAGTAAAAAAGCTGAAATGTTGACATTACAAACACACACTTCAATTTTATTTATTTGAGTAGATGATTGAGCGGTCAGTTTAATTTCTTACTAATGGCCTGCTTCTTAGTTCTGATGCTACGCAGAGTCAAATTTGACGGCTCAGTAGCACTTTTGCACTGTGGCACTATGCAAGGCCGCGGGTTCGCACCTAGCACGGAAAGAGTGTTTTATCGCCTACAAATTTTTGTGTGGGTCAGTATATTTGTTAATGCGTAATTTTAGTGTGTAGATGCCTCCAAGGTACAAGAAAAGATCCTAATATACCGAAAAAATAAATACAAAGAATATTCTATGTTGCCATGTCACTGCTGAACTTCCTCAAGGGATGCCAAAAAACATAGTCCTGAGCCACTTGCATCCATCGATTTCTTGCATGTCTTACCATGTCGTCATCACATCCGATTAGGGGCTGCCCTACACTTCTGGTACTGGTACGAAGCTGCCGCTCGAGAATCTTTCTTTCGCATTGGTTGTTGTTGTTCGAGCTATATAACTCTATATTTAGAAACTCTTGCAATATAATAATAAAAATTAAATATTGCAGCCATAGAAACTAACAACCTTACAACAACAACACTATATATTTCTAACGGGTCGAATATCAACGAATAGGTTCCAGATCTCGTCGCAGAAGAAAAATGCGTTTCCCTAAATACCGTCTCAACTGCAATCTTAATCTTACGATTTTAGGTATGTAATTCAGATACGTAATCTCTACGATGGATCTCCCACTACTTATAGAATCGAAAAGGACGCGTTTGTAACCAATTTAGTGATACTGTGAATGCTGATGGTATTGTGTTGATGTTTCACAGAAAGCACTTGGCCACTGTATACGAGTAAAGCTAACTGAAATTGGTTGGATTAAAATAAATTAATCGCTTGAGAACAGTTTAACAACGCCAAAAATCACCAAAACAAAATTCATTTGGTTTGACAAAAACAAAGCAATCACATATTATAGTGTCATACATTCTAATTCCTGAAACAAGCCTCAGGTTCAACATAGATGCAACTTTACCCTTACAGAGAGAGATGAAAAACAGCCAAAAGAAAAAAAATGGATGTATTATTAGTAACAAGTTAAAAATTAAGGTAATTCTCCGTTTAGACATAGCCAGAAGTGAATATTTACGGTCTGATGAATAAGAATAAGACAATCAAGGTTATTTTATGTTATTTAGCACTATAATATACATACGTGGGGACCACTGAAAGTTTTGCGTAACTTATAAATAAAACAATTCGTATATAAAGTAATATATTTAGTGCTTTTTAAAGTATTATAAATTTTACAATTAAACTCTTTTTCCTTCATTTCAGTTTCTTATATATTATAAAAACATAACATTCGAAATTCAAACATTTATAAGCGACTATAGGAGCTCAGATCTTTCAGTGTGCCCTAAGTTTGAATATTTATGTACGTGTACGAATTTTAAGCCATTGAATTGAATGGTCTAAGGTTAGTACTTAGATTTCTAATATTTAAAGGTTTAAGTTTTGCTATGAGACTGACGTAGGTTGCCTTAAATCAGAAATTTTACTACTTTCTAACTCCCTTGGAACTGTGTCCAATAACTTTAAATCAGCCCAAACTAAAATAAAAGAGAACACATACTGGCTCTGGATAATCGGGTAAAGACATGTAAATATAATGAGGAGCGTTGTGGCTCCTTACTAAAACATCAATGTGAGTGTCAGCGGTCAATACCAGTTTCTTCAGAGTCAGTGTGTGCTGATAATATTATATCACCACCAAAACTACGAAAATACCGTAGCAGAGGAGATTAAAATAAAAAATAATTCAAATATTATCAAAAATATTATAATTGTGTATAGCAATGACATGGGAAAAAATTTGGGCATACTTTTAAATAACGCTTTAAAGAGACAAAAAATTATAAATTGCTGCATGCCTGAAGCATCTTTTAGTGACATCCTAAATAAAATTATAGTTACTAAATTTTTCCCAAATTGTACAATAATAATTTTTGTTTATAGAAGAGGCAGTGTAAGCAACAAATAGTTATAAGAATACTGAACAACTTAATAATTAAAATTTACACAAAATTGTCTTGTTAACATTTTCTTATATACAGGGATTGCCACAGGAAAATAATCTAAGATATAACTTAAATTTACAAATGAAAAATTTAATATGTAAAAATAATTTAAATTTGACATATAATTGTAATGATAATCATTATTATATAATCATTATTAGATTTGTCATTACAAATTTCTTTTTATTGACATACTCGTAAATAATGTAAGTAACAAGTTTTGTACAAAAGATAGGTATTACATATCCAAATATAATTTAAGATCTTATTATTTAAATTTTAACTTAGGCAAGTTTTTGGCTACCAAGACTGCTTCTATTGAGCAGTGTAATCGTTTGACATTTAATTTGGAATCATTTCCAACTAATTTAAATTAGTTAATCCAACAATAGAGGCAATCTCTAGCAATAATAAGAGTTTGATTAATTTCGAATGTAGCCCATAAATAAGTAATAAGAATTGTTTACACCTGGTGCATCAAAATTTACAAAGCATGATTTTTTTATAGGAGAGGGGGCAAACGAGCATGCGGCTCGCCTGATGGTAAGTGACTACCGCCGCCCATGAACAACTGCAACACCAGGGGAGTCGCAGATGCGTTGCCGGCCTTTTAAAAAGGAGTACGCTCTTTTCTTGAAGGTCCCTAAGTCGTATCGGTCCGGAAAAATCGCTGATGGTAATCGATTCCACAAGGACGTCGTGCGAGGGTGAAAACATCTTCTAAATCGCACAGTGGTGGACCGCCAATCATCCAGATGGTGTGGATGGTATCGGGAGTTCTGCCGCGATGTGCGTTCGTGAAATTTGGCAGCTGGGATTAATCCGAACAATTGGGCAAAGAATTGGAAGTTGAATTGTTTTTAAACAGTAGCAACATACATATCCATTGTATTACTGAACTTTGGCTTAAAGATTATTATTTAATGTTTAATTTCAGAAATCACCTGGTGGTCAGTTCCTTCAATAGAGAAAAGAATTTACGTGGTGGCTGCTTAATATTAGCAGATAAATCATTATTATATAAAGAACGTAAGGATATTGGGAGCCTCTCTGTTGAGCGAACTGTAGAAATGGCTTGTATCGAGCTCGAGCACCTTATTGTTGTAAATGTTTACAGACTTCCATGTGCTAATTACGAATATTTTGAAAGGATTTCGGAAAAAGTTTTGCTCAAACTTAGTAAACAGATGAAGTCTGTTGTAATATGTAGAGACCTTAACATCAATCTCCTTGAAACTTATTCCATTGGTATTAAATTTAGCTCTTTATTTAAATCGTATAATCTAGTTAATTTATTCTTAAAACCGATACGTTTTAGCCTAGTGTGACCTATATAGATAACATTTTTACAAATGTTAAGCCCTTGCATAAATCA